CTCTCCATTACCAAAGAGTCAGATTCAATAAAAAGGAGTCATTTGGGGGACTGTAAAAACTTTAAAACCTTATACACAGGACCAGGCATGGTGGCTCATGCTTATAATACCTACAATCTTTGAGAGGCTGAGGTGGGAGGATTGCTTGAGCCCAGGTGGTGGAGATCAGCCCAGGAAACATATGAGACTAAATCTCCACAAAAGTGTTTTTAAAAAATTAACTAGACATGATGGCATGCACCTGTAGTCCCAGCTACTTGGGAGGCTGAAGCAGGAGGCTCACTTGAGTCCAGGAGCTACGACTGCACCCCCGCACTCCAGCCTGGGCAACAAAGCGAGACTCTGTCTCTAAGGGGGAAAAAACCCTTACACACAAAATTCTTTAGTAAATAGTTTAGGTAGCATCATTAAGTAAATAATCCTATAAAACATTCATACGAAGGACTGGGTAAAGTAGGATCTTACTATTTCTCTGAGGCAAGAGTAGGGGAGGAAAAAAATATGTGAAACATATCTGCCCTAATTCTTATCAGCCAATAATCATACTCTACCAATGATGAGGACATGAATCTTAGATGAACCATTAGCTCAAAGATCATTAAAGAAAACATCAAAGGCCAAATGGATGTTTACAATCTATAGCAGTATTGTCTGGGCCCTTTTCCATAACTGTTCACAGAACCTTCATTCCTACTATACCCCCACCATCTTAACCTAATCCTAAATAAAGGCAAATTATTTAGGAGATACAGCTTCTGCAAGATCATTCCAAGCAGGAAGGGAAGAGAAGTAACATTTACAGAATTCCTGCTATGTGCCAGGAACTATGCCTGCATGCTTATGTTTAATTCCTTATTTGATTCCCCAAAAATCCAATAAGGAAAGTATTTTAGATCCTGAACTGAACCTCAGACAGGTTAACTAACTTATCTAGGATGACAGACTGTTAAGTAAAAGAGCCAGAATTTAAATCCATGTATGTCTGACTTCAAAGCCTATTTTTTCCTACTATACTAAGATGCCTCTCTTCCGTAAGAATTTGAGATAAAAATTAGGTTATTTAAATGCATTTGGTAAATGAAATTTCTGCATTCGTCCACTTAACAAATATTTAAGAAAAAGCTATTGTGTAAAACACTAGGCTAGACATGTTAAACATGAACTGAGTCTTTAGAGCAGCTTAAGGAACTTGCCCCAGGATATACGTCTACTAAGTAATGAGAAGACTAAAACTCAGACAGCCTGATTCCAGAGATAACACACTCCACTACTCCACTATGCTGCCTCTCTAAAATTTAAAGGATAACATGAGTGAAGCATTAGTGTTCTCCATTGCAGTGAAAAAAAGTAGGCCATTTTAATTCCACACAGTCCTGAAAGGAAGCCTAACAAAGGGCCCACTGGCTGACAAAGGGAAACATTTATTCTTTCCTCAAACCAATTTCAGTTTTATGTATATTTATTCTGGATATAGATGTATTAGTAATAAAAATTCTTAACTGTCTTGATCATAAATAATATTACCACCTCCTATTTGTTTAGTGTTTTTTTACATTTTCCAAAGTGTTTTTACATACATTATTTTAACAAATATAACCATCAACAGCTCATCTTTATTTACACAGAAAAAAGCCAAAAGTTCTGACATACCTGCAACATCCCTTACATCTCTGCCTTTCTAGCTTAATTTGCTACCCATCATACTGACACAAGTTATATGTTTCAGCCACATTATTCCCTGAAGATTCTATCTTTGTTCATGGCACTATTCATACAATTCCTTTTGCCTAGAATGGTCTTCCTTGTTATCTACCTGGTAAATTCTGACTTCTCTTTCAAGACGTGGTTCAAATATCTTCCCTATGTAACCTTCAGTTCACTGAGCTAGTCACTCCCTCCTCTATGACCACCAAATCAGTTTTTACACATCTAGCATAGGATTTATTATAATTATAGATGTGTTTTCTTTTTCCCAAGAGACTGAGCTCTTTAAGAGCAGTGACTATATCTTTCTCATCTGTTTCCTCAGTGCCAAACTCATAAAATGTTTTTAATATTTATGAAATGATAAAAGAATGATTATACAAACCACTAAACTAGGAATTAGAAAACCTAAGTCCAAGTCCTATACTAAAAGGCAAAGTAAGTTTTAAGCTCAGTTTTTTCAGCTGTAAAATAAGTAATTTTAAATTCAATTAAACATTTGTTTTCATGATGTATACTTCCTAATCATTAATTTAACAGATGGGAATATTCTGAGTTCTTTAGAAGGGTCACAAAAAAAATCCAAATTTCGTTATTACCTCCTCCATCATGCCATCCTGTGTGGCCGAGATTTCTCCTTTGGTTGCTCCACTGTGTACCAGGTTCCGTAGTCGTATACAGAATTCTCTCATCTATGATAGAAACTTATTCAGCACTCCAATAGTTACCCAAATTCAATTGTAAATGAGCCTCATAGACCAACGCTAGTTCTATTTAATTTTAATCGATGTATAGCTCAAACCATACTCATGCAAAGTTCATAAAGGCAAATGTTTTTCTTCAACTTGTCCATTTAAACGCATAGCTAAAAATACTTTCCATAAGGAGAAAAGGTATAAATTATTCCTCCAAAGTACTAGATGGAACTGCTCTTGCTCTGCAAATATCATGTAAAGATGTTTTATGTGCCTGGGCTTGGGAAAAACATCTGATTACATAATTCCTATCACTCAGAAAAAGCAGGAGACAAGATAATTATGCCACTAAGTTACTCTGGTAGATTTTTTACTTAGAATTTCAACAGCTGTCCATTTTACCTTCTCTGCCAACTGACGATGACCATGGTTATGCCATCCTCCAGTAAAATTTTCTTTTTTTTTTTAGCTGCCCAAGATAAACGGAAATCTAACCAAGTGCTAAAGAAGATGTTGCTCTCACTTCAAATAAAATCAATGCCATACTATTAATGATCTTTTAGCCTTTGGATAAAGGCGAAAAGTGTTTTCAGGGTAGAAAATAACCTACTTCTAATGTTAGGGAAACACATCTATAGTTTATTTTAAAATATAATCTTCTCCCAGGAAGATGAAAAATCCCATTTTAGCCTCATGGATTAGGACAGCAGATTCTGGCAACTCCCAGTTCTCAAAAAGGATGGTTGGCTAGCAAAGCAGCATCCCTGTAGGAATTGTAATTCTCCTTGGGAAAACTGGTTATGTAGACAAGACATAATGATTCATTAAGATAAACTGAAGCAAATAAAAAGCAGTTCAGTAACTGCATCAACTCTTTAGTGGGTGGATAAACCACATTGATGTGGTCTGGGGAAGTCTCAGAACATAGCACCCTCTTTAAAGGCATCTTGCAAATAGTTCTTTTTTGTTTTACTATCATATAAAGGAGTTCTAGCCCACCTCCACTAGAACCAAGTGAGAGACACAACGCCCTAAGTGCTTGTGGCCAATATTAATTGGACATAGGTCTTTATTTCCTAAATACTCCCCTAAGAAAACATTAAAATCAATAGAAATAAAGGTGGAAGTTTTTTTATAAGGAAAAGCCCTCTAATTTTAACTATTTTTAAACAATATGTAGCTACATTGCTTTTGACAGACATTGACATCAGTAGTTATCTTGTATACAAACTATATACACTATATACCCAGGAACCCCCTTTAAAAAATAAGTTTTAAGGAAAGTACACTACTAAGTACTTTAAGTATTCAGTACAACCCTGCTTCAAACACTGTACCTTGTGATTCAGAATATCATTCATCCTTCTGGTTGCCTCTGTTGTATAAGACTCAGGGAAGCATTTCTTAGGAATAACACCATATTTTTCTGAAAGAAAACAAATTTCCAGTGTTCAATACGGTAAAAGATTAGAAACCCTGCCAAAAATAGTGATTGTTTTAAAAATTAGGCCATATTTTGCTGGCTTAATTCAGAAAATCCTATACTTCATATCATTAAGCAGGGATTTTTGTTTGTTTGTTTGAAGACAGAGTTTTACTCTGTCACTCAGGCTAGAGTGCTGTGACGCAATTCTGGCCCACTGCAGTCTTAAACTCCCAGGCTCAGCCTCCTGAGTAGCTGCAACTATGGTACATGATACCATGCCCAGCTAATTTTGTTTTATTTTCTATAGAGACAGGGTCCCACTATGTTACCCAGGCTGGTATCAAACTCCTGGGCTTGAGCAATCCTCCTGCCCCGGCCTCCCAAAGTGCTAGGATGCCTGAGCCACCTCACGCAGCCTAAGCAGGTTTTTAATGTGCATATTTATCTAACTAGAATTAATTCTATTCTTTTTATCTATGATACCTTGTCACTTCTCAGCCTTTTGGTCAAGATCAAGTGTATTTATCATACTTCTGTAAAGTTCTCAGCATGATGAGATTTCCCCAAAAGATAATGTTTTGAAGATATTTTTAAAACAGCTGCAGTTTTAATGTGTTTCTTGATTCTATCAATGGAAAGGACAACAGTTTTTTCATGGAAAGTTAGTACTACTTAATACTACCTTTTCTTTTCCAGCCCAACCTTCACAGTAGCTATCTGCTTACCCCTCACTTAAGAAAGTCACTCTACAGGTGAGAATGGGAAATAAAGGTCCTTGGAAGTAACTATATATCCTTCGTGGAGACCGATTCCACTCTGTATGTAACCACCAAAGAAATGGCCAGTGCCTACCTACAGAGGCTTAATCATGCTGAGTTTCAGTTCCATTAAAGAAAGAACTCTTACCAACAATATTGACAAGCATATCCCACTGGCCACCATCATTTGCAGGGTTCATAAGCAAATACTGCACCAGCCTCCCATCCTCAGGCTCCTTTCTCTGGGCTGTGTCCACAAAAGCATTCAAGAAGAAATAACAGCGTTCAACCTAAAGAGTAAAGAAAGTTAAATAAAATTAGAAAAAAGAGCCAATAATTTTATTGGCATTATCAACAGAATGGGAGTCTTGTAATTACCATGAAACCAACACAATAGTTTTTTTTTTTTCTTCTTTTTAAAAACATGAGTATTTCATGAATTTGCATGTCATGCTATAGAGGCCATGCTAATCTTCTCTGTATCATCCTAGTTTGGGTATATGCGATGCTGAAACAAGCACCATAATAAGTACTTTTAAACTAAAATTGGTAATTAAACATTGTATCTGATTTCATCAGAATATTGGAAGTTTCTTCTTATACCTGTGTATGTATCCCAATATATTGTGTATATGTGTACAGTGCTTATATTCCAATATTAAAACAAAACCTGGTATTTAGAGTCTTTAATCAATAAACATTTAATGAACACTTACATTATATAGATTTTCTTATTTTTAGACAGGGTCATGCTCTGTTGCCTAGGCTGGAGGGCAGTGGTGCAATTTCACTGCAGCCTTAACCTCCCGGGCTCAAGCAATCCTCCCACCTCAGCCTCCTGAGTAGCTGGAAGTACAGGTGTGCACCACCACATCTGGCTAATTCCCTTATTTTCTGTAGAGACAGGGTTTTGCTATGTCCAGACTGGTCTCGAATTCCTGGGCTGAAGCAATCCTCTCACCTCAGGTTCCCAAGTGCTGGGATTACAGGCTTACAGGCATGAGCCATTAAACCAGGTTAGCAATATACATTTTGAAGATTAGGAAAAGGAATATGGTCAGGCACAGTGGCTCACGTCTGATATCCCAGCACTTTGGGAGGCTGAGGCAGACAGATCACTTGAGGTCAGGAGTTTGAGACCTGCCTGGCCAAGATGGTCAAACACCCTGTCTCTACTGAAAATACAAAAATTAATTGGGCTTGCTGGCATGTGCCTGTGATTCCAGCTACGTAGGAGGCTGAGTTGGGAGGAAGGCTTAAACCCGGTAGGCAGAGGTCACAGTGAGTCGAGACTGTGTCAAAAATAAATAAATAAATAAATAAAATTCTTTACTCTTTTTCAGACAAGTACTAAAGAAGGGAAATTAGGTCCTAGAAAAGAACAAATAACCTAAAAAGATGTTTAAAAGGGAGATATATTCAATTGAATATTGATTATAAAATTCAAAATTTCAAATAGACAAGCAGTAAGGTAAGTCAGTAAGTTTATTATTTCATTGCAAAAAAATAGACACTTAACCAAAAATAGTTCTGCCTTTGAAAGAGTCAACTTTTGATACTCTGGAAGTCAGAATGAAAGGTGTTTCACCTATCATGAAAGGGCAGGCTGCAACTGGAAAAGCAACAAATGAAGAGGCAGTCCCTACGGAGGCTGATATCGATACAAAAAGAATCTGGCAAGATCAGTCCCATACCTTGTCCCAAAAAAACAGGTAAGATTGACTAAACTCAAATTCTTCAATATTTAATTTTTTCATGAATGGAAGCCTCATAACATTCAGACAAGAAAAGATCCAGCATCGCCCTGAAACAAGAAAGCACATCAAGAAATTATGAGGGTTCACACAGATAGCATTGCTCCAACTGTTATTTTCCAACCACGAACTCATGACACAATCTGGACAATTCAGAAAGAGTAAATCAGTAAGAGCAGAAAAATTAAAAACAAAACAAAAAAAGAAAGGTGGTATTTTTAGCAATATATATGCAAAGGTTTAATATCTATAACACAAACACTCTTTAAATATCAAATAAAGAATCCATTACAAATCACCCAAGAAAATCACATTAGAAAAAGAAACATGCTAGAAAACCATGAACAGAGATCACAAACAGATCATTCAGGGGCCAAAAAAGATACAAACTGTAGAAGCAGTTTTAAAAGTTCATGATAAGACATCTGTTAAGTGGGGAAACAACATTTCATTTATTTATTTGGGGAAATAAGCATCATTATCAATCTGGATAGGGATCTAAATAGGTACAAAGTATCTGAATGCAATTTGGCAATATCTAGCAAAAGCTTTAAAAAGCCCTACCCATCCAGCCGGGTGCAGTGGCTCATGCCTGTAATCCCAGCATTTTGGGAGGCCAAGGTGGGTGGATCATCTGATGTTAGGAGTTTGAGACCAGCCTGGTCAACACAGTGAAACCTTATCTCTACTAAAAATACAAAAATTAGCCGGGTATGGTTGCACGTGTCTGCAATCCCAGCCATTCAGGAGACTGAGGCATGACAATCGCTTGAACCCAGGAAGCAGATGTTGCAGTGAGCCAAGACTGCGCCATTGTACTCCAGCCTGGGTAACAGGGCAAGACTCTGTCTCAAAAAATAAAGAAAAAAAAGCCTCTACCCTTTAATCTGGAATATGCATTTCAATATGTTTCAATATAGGCTGACCTTAACATAAGTCAATACTCCATTGTTCCACTGATAAGTCAAAAAAAAAAGGGCAGATATTTGCCTAACTGGATTTTATCAACACTTAAAGATTATACGAATAGCAAATTGTCTACCCATAATATTTTAGTTTTTTATTTTTGGAGACAGAGTCGCACTCTGTCACCCTGGATGGAGTGCAGTGGTGCCATCTCAGCTCACTGCAACCTCTGCCTCCTGATTCTCGTGCCTCAGCCTTCTGAGTAGCTGGAATTACAGGTGCATGCCACCACGCCCACCTAATTTCTGTATTTTTAGTAGAGCCAGGCTTTTGCCATGTCAGCCAGGCTGGTCTCAAACTCCTGACCTCAAGTGATCTACTCCGCCTATTCTCAGCCTCCCAGAGCTCTAGGATTATAGGCATGAGCCACAGCATCTGGCCAATACTTTAGTAATTTAAATATATCTTAGATTTAAAATCATGTTAACATAATAAATGGACTTAGAAGCACTGTGTTTCCCACTTTACATGTCATTTTCACACTGATTCAATCTTCACATGTACCTAGCAGTCAGTATCTGTGCCATCATTAGATCCATTCTTTCAATCGGCACACGTCATCTTTCTTCCATCTAGAATGTTTGAGTCACAGCAATGTTTTGAATCCATGCATGATGCTGTCCCTGAAAATTCTATACCAAGCATCAACTACACAATCAGATTCTTCATGTGTCCTGTATGTGTATAATCACAAACTCCACGTCACCACTTCCTGTTCTGACTTAAGTGGTCTTCATTTAAAAGGTCTATTTACAACATCAATTTATTCAAATTTGTCACCTTTTAAAAGAAGCTGATTCAATAAAAGGATCTCTGTAAGCATGCAAAAATGTATGCATCTGAGGTTTTTCAGAATAAAGTCTTCTCCAAATTGTACTCTACTTCAAAATAAATTAACTGAGAGTGCCCATTAGAAAAGTCTTCAAGGTCTTAAATATAGGGTAATTCTCTCTTCTCTGAAGGAAAATTCTGAAGGAAAAACCTTGAGTTGTATTGGGTATAACTTTACTGGTATGAAAATATGTTTATAATATATTGGTAAGTGAAAAAAGTAGGTAGACTACATAACAATGTATAGGCTATCAACCCACATTAAACACACATACACACACACACACACACACACACACACACACACACACAAAGACCTGACAAATATATAGCAAAAATATTCACCTGGTATTTGTAAATATTGTACATTAAACAAAAATAATTTTGTAACAAGAAAAAAACTCTACAGTTAACTATAGTGTTTTCTGAAAGTCACTAGTGCCTTACTATAGTTCATCTTTTCCTTAGATTTATCTGTATGCAACCTCTCTTCTATATGCTACATATTTCTAGTAGAAGGGATCTGGATGCACTGGTGATGTGAAAACTGCATGAAAATAAAGTACACAGCTCACATGCTATTTGAATCTTTTGTATATATTAAAGTAACACTGCAAAATGTGTAAGACCTGACCTGTTCCCTAAGAGATCACTGCAATCTAAACTATGTAGGACCACTGTAACATTACCAACTGGATCATCTGTAGCCTGAGAGTTCACACCACTCCAAGCACTTTCTTCTAGAGCAAAACACTAATTATTGTAAGGTCTTGACTTTTTCCTTAACATTTAAAAATCAACTTTATTGATGTATAACGTACATACTATAAAATGTATTCGTGAAACGTGTGCTTTGTGAGTTCTGACTGACTATAAACAAGCACTAATGTGCTTCCTGTTCATACAGATAGACTGGGAGTCGTTTTTAAGTAGATAAAGACTTTTTAAAAATCCTTTTACTACAATATTGTGGTGAGAATGTGCTCCTTAATTAGATCCCTAGAAATCCAATCTTTCACTGTAGCTGTTTTTCTGAGAGTGGTGTAAGAAAGTAGAGAGCAAAACGAGACTTCTTGACCAGTAAGACACGAGAACAGAACTTTCTCCAGTGTTACAAACTGATCTACTGGTGGGAACTGAGCCCATCAACACATTAGCTTCAGTTGTAACCAAGAAGCAGCTTTAAAAGTAACACCTGATGGCATTTTAATGTAATTACATTGTATCTTTCCTATTTCATAAATTTGTATAGGGCCTTCAGGGCATTTCTGGAGAGTCCTCCAAGAATATGAACATTTCCGCAATGCTCTGTTTTGTGACCAAGACCATCGATCTGCAAGACATGGGCTACAAACCACGTAAACATCAGGACATAATATAGTGAATTACACTCAAACGTATGCTCACGGACTTGTCACTTTAGTACTCTAACCGCATGTGCTAACAAGCCACAGTACACTAAAACAAACCACATGGGTAATGTTCTTAGACCTGCCTGTACCTGTACCTCATTCTCTACGAATTTACGACCAGCTCTTTCAGTACGAACTTAAGACCACTCGTAAAGACACCAAAATGGGATGCTGTCAGGAAGGTCAAGGAAAAGTACGGGAGAAGTGGAAGCCCATACCTGAGCTCTTCTGGTTGGTGACGGGCTTGCCTTCCTGGGGCACGGCGTGCTGGAACACATGCTGCGCGCGCTGCACCGTGGCCCGCTTCAGACAGATGTCCAGCAGGTCGTGGGTGGTCCCGACATTCTGGGCAAGTACGAACTGGGGGTCGGAATTCAGTTTCTGTATTAGAGCAGCTACCTTCTCCGAATTCAGTCCTGTTGGGAAACCAAACGGGATTTCAATGCCAAAAAGACCGGGGGAAAGAGCTGATCTGGGGCTCCCGCATCCCGGATCTAACTTGGTAAGCGCATCCTGAGGTGCCCGCTGCAGCGGGGAAACCCAGGAGCAGCATCCA